ATAAATCTCTCAAAGACCAGCTGGGCAGAAAACAGCTGTTATTAAAAAAACTGCCTGTATGTATAGCTTGTTCCTTTTGTGCACTTAATCATTAGAGCCTTTTAGCCAGAACTCCCTTTTGGGGCAGCATATAGATCTGGGATATTCATAGGTGCTGTACTGAGAGCATGAAAGCTGGTGTGGCTCCCTTGTTTCTTTCTCTGTAGCTGCAGAGGTAGCTGTGTTGGAATGGAAAGGAATGGCATGGAATCGAACAGAATAGAATAGGGTATTTCAGTTGGAAGGGACGTACAAAGATCATCTAGTCCAACTGCCTGATCGCTTCAGGACTGACCAAAAGTTAGTATGTTATAAAGCACATTGTCCAAATGCCTCTCTAACACTGACAGGCTTGGGGCATTGAACACCTCCCTAGGAAGCCTGTTCCAGTGTTTGACCACTCTCTCAGTAAGGAAATGATTCCTAATGTCAAGTCAAACCCTCCCCTGGTGGAGCTTTGAACCATTTCCACATGTCCTGATGCTAGATACCAGTTATTTAGCTTCTTGCTGTTACAGACTGGCTTTTATGGTGTTATTTTGCCTCTTAGCATAGAACAACCTCACTTTTCAAAGAGGTTTTTTTTCCCCTAAAGAAAAAAAAGACTCAATACAAATACTCTTTTCATCTATTGCTTTGTAGCTTTTGAGCTCATTGAGTCATTTGGTTGACATGACAAAAAGAGTAGAAGTCTCAAAGATACTAAGTTCCCATAAGTCATGAATTTAAGCAGTCAAATTAGGAGGTGAGACTACGTTAATGCATCATCCAGTGAAGAAACATTCCGTGTCCCAGATGGGACAAGGAAAGAAAGGCAAGGAGAATGAGTGTTTATCCTTTGTGGCTGGCAGTTTGCTCTGATCAAACTACATTTAGTATGTTGGGTGTTCAGTCAGCACACATGCAGCTGCAGATCAGGTAGAGATTAGAGCTGGTAAAATAGCTACCTTTTGCAAAAGGCCCTGAAAAGATGGGAGAACTGAATACACTGTAGTGGCTGATGTAAGGGACATGGGAGGAAACTGACAGTCACTGGTGGTATGGGACCTGGGAGAGAACAGGGGCTGCGCCAGGTAGGAACTGAGTAGCCTAGACTGTAGTGCTATTTCTTATGGAACCGTATGTGTGTCTTTATTTTCTCTATTAAGGTTTGGGATTTTTTTGGGTGTGGGTGTTTTGGTTTTTGTTTTGTTTTGTTTTGTTTTCCAGTTAGCAGAACTTAGACACATCAAATTGAAGGCTTTAAGAAGTCTCCTCCTGTAAGGATGCAATAATACAAAATAGTAGGTGTATAAAGTGTGATTTGTTTCATGGAATTCCATAGCCTCAGCGAAGGCACCAACTACATGTCCTTCCAAAAGATGTTAAATTCAAATAAGTTTGTCCTCAATTATTTTTACTTGACTAGTTCATGTGGTCAGCTGAGGATTTTTTTTCTCCAGAATATCTTAAAGTTTTTATCTACCAGTAGGAAATCTATTCTTCAGAAAGTTATGTCAACGTGGTTGTACAACCGAGGACTCCCTTAACAGTCAGGGAGTGTAGTGATAGGATGAGGGGTAACGGTTTGAAATGAAAGAGGGGAGATTTAGATTAGCTTTTATGAAGAAATTCTTTACTGTGAGGGTGGTGAGACACCGGCATAGGCTGCCCAGAGAAGCTGTGGCTGGCCCCCCCCTGGCAGTGTTCAAGGCCAGGCTGGATGGGGCTTTGAGTGACCTGGTCTAGTGGGAGGCGTCCCTGCCCATGGCGGGGGGGGTGGAACGAAAGGATCTTTGAGGTCCCTTCCAACCCAAACCATTCTGTGATTGTGTCTTGGGTTGTTATTTCTCAAGTATCGTTTCATTCCATGACTGGATGTAGAAGTTCTCTAAAAAGACAAGACTGATGTTCACTGTATTTGCATGGTTGCCAGACATGAAGTTTACAGGAAATACTGACACTCTCTCACGACCTACAAGCATTTGTGATTTTGTTTTTTATAACTGTTCTTCCGCCTTTTCGTATTATTGGTTGAGTTTGAAATGGGCATAGGAGGTGACTAAGGAATTAATCATAACATTTTGATTCTCAGTTGACAAGACCAGAATGCAAACTCAAGATAAAATGAGTTTTTGTCAAATTAAAAAAAGTTGTGAGGGTTTGACCTGACAAATACTAGTCACATCTTCCACTCCTTACAAGAATTTCTATTATTTGTTAACAATCTTGCTTTGGCTTGAAGAATTGTTTCATTTTAGTATCACTGGTGTATCTTATCATTGTAGCTTTTTAAAAATTTTTTCTGAACTTTTTTTTTCTTTTTGCTGAGTTTGGAAATGTGTAGGATAAAGCAGAAGAAATGTCCTACGTACAGTGGTAGGGGAAACAATTGTAAGACCCCCATCTGCCAATAACTATGCAGCATTATTTGTTTAATGATTTATGGAACACTAGAAAATCAACAGGCAAAGAAAAAACTTTGAAATCCCTGTAGTTTACCAGTTTTCCTCTCTACATTCCCAAAGAACACCAATCCTTGATGATTCCTTAGGTAAGCAAGGCTATGAAGTCTGGAAAGCTGCGCTGTGTAGGCAGCTGCTTGCGATGCTCACTGCTGAGAACAGATCTGTATTCCAAACTCTTCTGTTAAGGCTGATGCTCAGTTGAAATCTGAGATCCAGTCGTGAAGCAGAAGTACTTCAGGCTTTGAGAGGTTTCTACCAGTTTCACAGTAATGAAGTTTGGGCAAAAAAAGGAGAGTACCCTGTAAAGACCTTCTGCCTTCTTAAAGTAATTGGATTTTCAGTATTGAGGTATAGGTTCTTAAGAAATACTGAGGCACCATACCAGTCCTGTAAGAATCCCCTTATTTGTGTCCATTTTTATTTAGCACATTACAGCTTCAGCACAGAGTAGATGTGTGTGTCAAGATTTTCATACAGATGTTGTGAAGAGGACACTGAGAACAGCACTGACCTGGGCCACCCCAGTGGACTTATCTACAGGAAGGGCTAACTTGCTGCACAGTAATTTCTACTGGCATCAAGACAAACAACAAGATCAAGTTCTGTTAACAACAGACGGTGATTCTACTTCAAGTAGAAATCTGACAAAGGAACACTGAATTTAGCTGCTGGTCAAGAAATACCAAGCTGAAAAGACAAGTTGATTTAAAGCCTAACTGTTAAGTTCTAAGAGAGATGTAAGGGAATGTTTTAACACTTACCCAGAAATGTTTTGACCCCATTAATAACAGTGGAAGAACTGTTGAGTAGTATGAGAAATTAAAAATAAGTTATCTACTACAGACATCATTAGGCTTGGAAAGTCTAAGATTTATCAGCAGCTTTTAAAGAAGTAAGTTACACAATACTTTGTACCTAAATCAAATAGACTATTAAGTATCTTTATTTATTACTTTTATTTCAAGAGGTGAAACTAAATTACATGGCCACATGACTGCTGCATACACAGTTGATAGCCTCTAAAACACAGCACTAGGATATAGGAAGGCTTACAGAAAAGTTCAGTGAGTTTAAGACAGATGAAGGTAAGACAAGAAATTAAACCACTTGGTGAGTCACTTCAAACTTCTTACATCTACAACTTTGCTGTAAACTTTACCCTCTTCAGCACATCCACTCATAACAAAAAGTTGTCATGGAATGATTAGCTGTGATAGTTCACATTTTTTCCTTGAAATGACAAACTGCATGCTGTCCCACAGAAAAAGATGGCCAGTGGGTCTCATACTTCCCCATCCAAGTTGACAGCCATAAGGCTGCGTCTTCCAGCTTGAAGTGCTTTCTCAAATCTAAAACTGACCTGCTGAGCTGCACTGTGCGCTTCATGCTTTTGCAGTTCTTGCAGTTACAATTTACAGTGAATGTTCATATACAAACTTATTGCAGAAAGCCAAAAGTCTTCAAAAGTCATTTTAAGATTAAATCTTTTTAATTTAGGATTGTGGACCAGAAGTCACTTTTTAACATACCAAAAGCTTAAGTTTACTGTCTGCGTGTTCTGTGAGTTAAGAACTGTCATAGCATTACTGTAGGCTCTAAAGAAACATCAGCATGGAGATTAGAATATGGAGATTTCAGTAATTCATAATTCATGCTGATTTTTTTGAAAATACTGTGGTGAGAAAGAGTAAATACAGATTCAGATCTAAAAAAAAAAAAGTATTATTTTCCATCGATTGCAAAAAAGCTTTTATTCTCTTAACAACTTTGTTTGCATTCTTACTGATTGGTGAGGAACATATCCAGTAACAACAGCAGCATCTCCATGCAGGAAGCTTCCACGCGCACGCAAATTTGTTCTTAGTACAGTCAGAAGTGATTGCAGATTTTTACGAGCAGAAAAAGCTCTTGGAGGTTGTAGTTCACCCCATTAATGATGTAGTTCTGGGGACTGACATCCAAGGCAGTTAATATTTCAACAGGAATTTAGGAAAAAGTATTTGCAATGGTACTACTCCTTAGCAAAAGTTGGTTTGTGCTTTTGAGTGTGGTCTTAAAAGGCACTCTGTTAACAATTTTAGATGACAACTTTATTTAGCAAGAAGAGGCAAGGAGTTGTACCTTTGTCATCTTGTGCTAATCTTAGTGCAATTTAACGCATCCATTTCTGACAAATTACTTCACACCAATATAAGCTTGATCACTTCAATGAAGTTAGTCTTTCCTGTATTTAGTATCTACATATTTAAGAATACACACACTGTACCACATACTGTGTTACAACAAAACATGCAACAACAATCTGTATCATCAGGTGCCTAGAACATGTAATTTCATCATTTACAACTTCATTGGTGGGAAATATATTCGTTATTGCCATCTCTCTCAGTAATTCCTGTATATTCAAGAAGGTCTGGTCAGACTAGTGTTTTCCTTTTACAATAGCTTCATGTTACCAGACGCGCCACAGTCAAAGGGTTAAGAGGAATTACATACACAAAGAGACATCTAAAGTGCAGAGCCTGTGGGATTTATATACTTTTTATTCATGTTATTGCAGAGAGTTTACTGAAAGATTTCTTCTGCGTGAAGATGAATAAAATATTTTCATTAAGCTTCAGATGCTGCCCACTGCATTGCTTTTAAATAAAAATGCTTAACTTTCTATACAGACACAGCAAAGTAGTAAGCAAGCTTAAAACACATTCCTTTAATATATCAAAATGTTTCCAAGGCAATATTAATAAAATCAGACCACAGTTCCCAGTAACATCAAGCTTCTTAAAGGAGGTGGTAGGGAAATTTCATCCAGTTAATACTTTAAGTGCTCTTCTTTTCTTCACCCAGTAAGTTCACTGTTGCTTTCTTGGCTGCAGGAAAATAAAAGCAAGTTTAATCTGATAGGCCTACAGACTTATGGCTTATACAATGTTCCTGAGCTGCATAAAAATAAAATTCCTTTTAGATCACGAAAGAAACATCACAACGAAAATCATAGCTTTTGTATACACATTGACACAGTCATAGTGATAAAACCAATCATATAAAGATTTTAAAAGACAAACCATAAGCAAGGATCAGCATAATAAACAGCACAGACTGACTCACAACTATTAGATCAACAAAACAGAGCTGCTCACAGTGTTTAGGACAGACAGGTCCTAAACAGTCTTGCTTAGACAGCAAGAAATAGACTACCAAGCTGAGAAGTAGGGCTGGAATAACGCTGATGTGTGTGTGACCACATGCATATGTGTGTGTATGATTTCTTCAAAAATATACATATGTGGAAATGGTTATATGTAAAAATAGGAAACCAAAGAATAAGTGATGGAATAAGGACAGAAAAATCCCATGTGCAACATGGAAGAACATTATTTAAGATACCTGTCTCACAATAATGATTCAGGAAGGGTCATGCAGTGAAATTTCCAAGCGTAGTTGAGAAAAGCAGATCATTTAAACACTGACAGGAAAACTGATTAAGTTGGTAAGAGCAAATGAGACTGCATGCATTGTCTGGGGGAAAGGAGACTGAAGGTGCTTTGAAATATCTTATAAATAAATGGCCTATCAAATGAAATTTAAATAAACCTTTATTTTAGCTACTTAATACATTTACTTCTCTTATTCATAAAACTATCATCGTACATTCTAAAGTATGAGGGTCCACTATAGAATGCAAGGAAATAAGAGCAAAAATTAAGCAATCTACAGGCTGTGATAACATTTATTCTAACCAAATAAAAACCTAAGTAATTTCTTTAAGAGTGGTCTCAGAATCCTTTGATCTCCAGACAAAGGAAAACTATAAAAACTTATAGACAGGGAAACTTAATTTCACATGCTGCTGTTTGTTGGAGTTAAATGATTTGCCTTACCACACAATTTGCAGCCCTGCTGTACTACCAGTTTATTTGAGACGGTATTTTTTAGGAGATACAAGAATCCACTGAAACAACAACTATTTATGGATGCTATCTTGTGAGGATGTTTGGACCTGACTTTAGAGAGAATGTTTATAGTGGTATGTATGGTGGGAAGATACACAACTAATTAGCCATTTCTTCCACTCATAGAATCACAGAACGGTTTGGGTTGGAAGGGACCTCAAAGATCACCTAGTTCCAACCCCCCTGCCATGGCAGGGACACCACCCACTAGACCAGGTCGCTCAAAACTCCATCCAGCCTGGTCACTCATACAGCTTGTGCTCATTCTAGCATAACCGCGCCCCTAGAAAGTACGATCCACTGCAATCCTCTTTCCCTGGCATCTTCACCTGAATTTAACTTCTCCATTATAATTTACAGTCTTCTTACGTTGTTTTTTTTCCCCCCACATGAGGAATATTAACTGTAATATTGGAGATGCCATGGGAAATTCCTCCTACTTCATGTGGTTAGCAAATGGTCTCTTCCTCACCTTCTTTAGTGATAGTATCTGCAGTCTCTGCAGCCTTGTCTTTCAGGTCTTTAACAACACTGTCAAGCTGAGCTTCATGCTTCAGGAAGAAAGGCCGGATAATTCGATGATAGAGAAACTCTGCCCCATTAGAAGGACTCGGAGCCATGCACCACAACAGGAAGCCACACTACAAGGAACAAGAACATCTGCATAAGTAGAAGCAACAAGCAGGAGACAAGGTGTAGCGTACCTTCCTAAATCTGCAACAGACTTGAGCATATTTAAAACAGTACATCACCTCCTTCATTTTGTATGGTCACAGCCCACCAAGTACGCACATCAGTATAGTTGCATACAGTGAATCTTTGTATTGGAATAATTTCATGGATAGGATAAAAGAGGAGGGCTGTAGCAGTAAAGCTAATCTGGTAACAGGTGTTTAAGATTGCATGTAATTTTTTTTTTTTTTAAAAAGTAGAAGTATAAAACCTGATTCAACGAAACATTACGTTTTTCTGGCTACTTCTAAACTATGTGGCACAGCCCTGACTGAAGGTCTAAGTTCATAAATCCCTTAAATCCAGCCAAAACACATCCTTGCCCTCTCTGCCTCCCTGCTTTGAAAATGCAGTGGGGGAAAGAATGGGTTTGTGTGCATCCCAGAGCTGAAGTGACAAGGAGGAAAGGTGTATTTAAGCTACACAGAGCACACAGACAAGGGTAATGCTTTTGGATTGCACAGTTTAGGTATAGCTTTTATCACACAACCTGCTCTCCAGGAAAACAAACCAACCAACCAACAAAACAATGAACACCACAGTGTGTGGGGCAATATTTCTGCATCTTACAAAGGGGATTGGGAAGACAGCTATTACACAAATATCTGTCTTTACTACTGAAGCATCTTTACTTGGCTTCAGTTTCACTGTGATACACAATACAAAGACAGCTATGCAACACAAAATCAAGACATTTAAGGAATAGGAAGTGCCATAACTTCAGTTTGCTTAAGCTCTGAAAGTATATAGGAGAAGATTTTACAGGATAAAACTGCAACAAAATTAAGCAAATTTTCTCAATTTACTACAAATAGTACAATATTATTCTGTGTCAAAAGCCTCTCCAGAAAATAAAGGCAGAACAGCTTTCCACAGACCACCTTTTCTTAAAACACAAAACAACCCCAGCCTCAGCCAAAACACTTTGTTTTGATGCTAGACATGATTAAATGTTTGAGGATTTCCACAGATTTTTGGGAGGAGAGGGAGAAAGGGAGAAAACACAACAACAAAAAAATCAGCTCCTCCTCCTAAAAAAACATTCCACCATACAATTAACTAAGTTAGGCACCAGAAATCAAACTAGCAATTTAAAGTACAATAAAACTATAAGCAATTTAAAGTCTGCATTTAAATACTGTAGCACTCATTTAAATAGATTAGACTTCAGAAGTTTTCCATTTCTCACAGCAGCATCAAGAGCAGCCAAAGAGATGCTACAATGCATGTGCTAGAGCTTCTGAAAGTAATTTTAAAAATATAAGCACAGTCTTATTTATTTATGAGGTTTCCAGTACACTGCATAGCACAAAAGCATTTCCTAGAAACTAGTGCAATCACAGTATCCTTTCAGAATTCCACTGTGCCTAGCCAGACATTTCTGTCTCCTCTCCTTCCCCTCATTCTTTTGACTTCCAACTGTAGAACTGCAAATCCAAATACTTATTCTGGTATTACATAAGAAATTCCTAAATAACAATTTGACCATTACAAGGTGATTTAAGTCAAGAGAGGTTATTTTAAAATATAGGTTCTGATTTGAGTTTAACAGAAAAGAAGGGGAAAAAAAGATAATACAATCCCTTTTCAATTATGAAAACCACATAGTCTTCTTCAGGCAAGCCTTCCAAATATTTTGGAGTATCTCCCCTGTATTCTTCCTCAGATAAGGGATATTGAGATTGCATGTTCTGCAGGTTCTGCTACTCATATCTTTAAAATTGTGGCTTTATCTTCACTGCAGCACACACCACAGTAAAACTGATCCACCTGATGCACATCAGTTGAAGAAAACACCAATTGTTTTTGGAGGAGATTGCTACTCCTTTTTTTTTTATTCTTTAAGGCCACTTCTCATTCCTCTTGCCCTAGAGAAAATAAATTATGATGTATTTGGAGCTGGAGAGGTATCTTGGCAGGCTGTCTCTTTAAAAAGGATCACTGATTCCTGGGGTTAACAACTGCCTTCTACAGAAGATTTTGCCAAACCAATTTACCATCCTTTTAGGTAAGCCTTTCTTCTTCAAACTGTTTGATCGTGATGTCAGAACACAATGACTTAAAGGAGTGTTTGCCCAGAAGACAAAGAAAGGTTTTTCAAAGTAATGTGTCCACCAGTGAGAATGCCTACCAGGAACATTTCAATAAATTAAGTGAAGTAATTCAACATGCAATAAAATTTGGCACCAGTGAGTAGCAACTGATGCAGTATCCTTACGCATGGTCAGAGAAAATAAAGGCAAAAAGTGTCGGAATATCAGTTTTCAAAAGCTTCTATTATTTGGAACTTAATAGAACAGAAAGAATAAATGGTACTATCTTATGTTGTCATCTTCCATTAAAGCTGAGAAGTATACTGATTTTATTTTAGCATATTTGGAAACTGAAAATGAGCTCGAAATTTGCATGAATGACATATCTGGGCTTCAATTTCATAACATCATAAAAGAGACATGGAGACATCACAAGCTACACTACAAGAGGTTTTAGTCATAGATGGACAGAAAGTTGGAAGCTGTCTGCTTCCTCCTTTTCCCCACGTGGAGTAACTTCCAGCCTTCCACCCGGTCAGCAATGCCAACACCTTCTGTCCACCTTTGTATCAACAGAAGTAGAGCTCTCCTACTACTCACTACTGAGAGTAAATACTTGACTTCTATGTGCTTTCAGCAGCTATTGTAGAAAGCTGTGCACTTACCATAATTGCTTCTTGAATTTGCTTTTGCTGAACTGAGAAAAGTACTTTTCTGTTGGTCTCACCACTACCTGTAAATGTGGCACTTCTGATACAGTATTATCAGACACATCTGTGGTTGGTCTTTATTTGCTAGGTCAACCTGAATTTTGATTCAGAAAGTGCTGTGCTAGCATAAAGAAATCATTGAACATGTATTTTACCACCAAGAAGTTAGAAAAGAAGCTCTGAAAACACACTGTAGGAATTCAGAACTGTGTGTAAACATCACTGCAGACAACAGACAAAGTCATAATCCTGCTAAACCACAAGGTGAAATTGGGGCTGTGAAATCACTGTGTAAGTGGTCAAGAACAGATTGTTCCCGTTGCTTTTGGATCCTGTTCACATCAGATGAACTTGCACTTTGATCATAATTTGGCTTTTTCTTAATATATTAGAAGGTTAAAACTTTCACATATGAGTTACCCATGCTAAATGTGAAAATTAGCAAATTTTTTTAAAAACTCTGCAAACCCATTAAGCTTAAAATGGAAAACTTTTTTTTTTTTTGACTATGGGAAAACAGTAAAGACACAGCAAGATAATTAATTTTGTGAGACAGCCCAGAATGTTTTTAGTTTTAAGCAGTAGTCTAAGAACAGGCTTTTTCTTGGGGAGCTAGGGAAGTAAGTGTCCAAAGGACTGCACAGTTGATGACTGTTAAAGATGCAAAAGGAACAATGCAGAAGTGTAACCAAGCTGTCCAAGTCAATTTTTGTCTTTAAAATATGGCAATATCAGACCTTACTGTTAAAATTTTAAGTGACCCCACCACATTAGCTGGCAAGCAAATCCTTTCAAAAACTTTGGTGGGGCTAAACCAGGCTAAGAAAGCAAAGGAGAAGGCACATAGAAACAGAAAATAGGTAACAGTTCTTTCAGCTACACAACTGACCCTCCAGAAAGCTAGAACGGCTTCTACCCAACAGCATACATGGCAATTGGCTATCTCCTAGAATCATTTAACTTGTTGAAGTTGACTGACAATACACTCGAACCTTAGTTGACAAACAAAGCTCAGAACACATCAAGCAAATCCTTGTTGGTAGTCAAACCACAGTAACAAATGCACATTAGCAACAAGCTTCTCTGGTACCTACCACTTCCTTTCAGGAAATTTGGCTTAATTAATAATTAAGTCTGTATGATCCAAACTATTCTTATGCGGCAATTTCCTTCTTTGCTCCCAATAGCACAGTTGTTAATACTTCCTCTTGCTGCCTTTGTGATTTTAATCTCCACTTTCACTAATACACTTAAAGCAAAAACAGAGCCACTCTGTAGGGTTTTACCACATGCTGTCAAATTTACCTGAACACCAAGACAAAGAACTGTCTTTCCACGGAGAGCTACGCTGCCTCTATTTTTCCTAAAACATGGCAGATCTTTCCTTGCCACACATCCCAACTTCCCCTCTTGCCTCACAAAACCATCAGCTGTAAACAGATCACTTTCATAGTGCTAAATTGCATGTAACCAGCATCTAAAAATAAGTTGTGACTCAGGAATGATTCCAAGGAAATCTGCTGTCATCTATTCATTCTTGAACACATTAAATCAGTTATATCAAAGGTCTCATTTTAAGAGAGATGTCACATGAATTAACATACCTTTAGCATGTAGTAGAAAGGGAACCAGGACAGAAAGATATCAGAGAAGAATTCCACTATGCTGAAAACACCGTACACTACCCAGTAAGTCAGCCACTGTGTGTCATCATCTTTGTTGGGACTTTCAATGGCCTTGATTCTGCAAGGAGAACAAAACACGTGAACAGATCAGTAGCATCAGTCTCATCTACAATGGCAAAGATTTAATGACTCAGATTTGTTGTTACATGTGAATTCTCGTAATTTAATTACTCTATATGCTCTACAGAAAAAAAAACTAAGTAGTATCTATCGCACAGGCAATGTGCCCAAGATCTTTGAACAGCAAAGCTTTTCCCTATACGTCAGAGATCAAAAAGAAAAGATACTCAAGCTATTTCTAGCTCTATGACCACAAAAAAAGCAAACAAAACCCTTGAGTATCCTGATCTTGTTCATGAGACAGTTCATGGGTCAGGGAAGAGAGGGGACAATTTTTGGCCGGTTCCAGTTGTGGATGCATTGTGGTAATCCTGACCAGAAGGCTATTGTACATCGAAGCATTAACGATCCATATAACAGTTAGCCTGAGCGAGCCCAGGCCAGTGCACAAATTCGCTGGTGACGGGATAAACTCAGCAAGCTCACTGAACAGAGGATCCCACAGGCAGCTCCCACTGGGTACCAGTGATTACACCACCTGTGTGACTTTGCCTGCATCTAACAGTGAACATCCTCCCTCTTTGACAGTAGGCATGATGAACAGAGTAGTTGTCTCGAAAGAAAAATCCTACAAGAACTTAAATTACCAAAATGGGGTAACCCTGCCTACAGGTGAGGTCTGCACAGTGTGCTGTGTGTGGATCGGAGGCCCATTCAGTACTACATAACTTGGGGTTCCCAGCATCTATACGGATATAAGACTGTCTATACTATCACTATCCACTGTTTCTTTATAGTGTTACCTCCAACAAATAGCATTTTAAACGAAGCTTTAGAGAATGTGAATGCCTTTCTTACTGGGATGATAACAGAGCAGCACCTCCTGGTGAAAACAGCATCTAGATAAAAATTTTAAATCTAGTTCAGGATTTTGAAGTGAATCTCAAATATTTTTACTCATAATGTACATTCCTCTTTGAAAAGGTAAACCATATGATTTGCTCTAACTGCTAACAAGCACCTAGTCTACAGAAGCAGAGGAGATCCAGTACCTCTGCCCCACACAGTGAGGACTACATATCTGAATCACCAATTGTTTCGCTCTATAAATCCATTCCTACAGGACTTGCAAATTCTGATGTAGACTATGGTATTAAGAACAAAGTGGAGCAACCTCTAGTAGAGTCTTGGGCTTCCTGAATAATGACTATTTTGGGTTTTGTTCGCCAATGCTAAGAGAACGCAGTTCAGGTTTATACAGTTCTAAAAATAGGAAGTTAAAAGAAACAGACACATGTGCTTCCTTCAGTAAAAATAGTGGAGACTCTGGACTCGCTAAGGTCCAGATTAGCACTGTAAGAAGTTCTAGAAGGAAATGCTAGGAACTGTAAGCCTGATGTGAAGCTTTAGAGTATTAAAAAACATTTGTCCTCTCCACTCTTGCCATAAAATTAAAATCTGCAGGTACAGTTTAATTAATTTAGTTTTAATTCTTTTATAACTTATTCCTTTAATACCAGCTATATTGTTGTTGCAGCAGCATCTGTGGGATATATCAAAGGTGAAAAGTTTTCTTTTAGTCCATAAAAAAGATTGAGAGCTAGGGAGGTTTACAAAATAGAAACCAGACAGATGGCTGGCTCTGAGTGCATTTCCTGGTTTGCGAATTGAGAAATCCTTTGGACTCTGTCACATCTTAGTTCTGTAAATCAAGAAAAAAAAAAAAAAAAAATTCACGTGCCGTACCTTATGTTTTAGCAAAAGCACTGGCAAGTCCACTACACGCAGAGAGAATTGGCCTAGCTATTGTATTGAATTACTTTGAAATGCAATACAAGGATCTGATACTTAATTTACACATTATTTCCATTAGCATTTGTGGGTGGCTGGCAGGGTCCTGCAATGGGAAGAGCAACAGCCTTTGCCACACCCCATCATGCACAGTAAGGCGCTGTTATCGAAGTACTGCATCGGCACAACTGGAAGAACAGGTTTTCCACAAGCGGACAGCGGCAGGTCTGCTTACTGCTGTTCCCAGCACCACAGCGTTAGGAAGCGGTAGTCTAGGCAGCCTGGTCAAGGCAGTGCCAACTTTGGCTGCTCCTGCCCTCCCACTAGAAGCCAAGTTTTTTCTATGCCCCCACCTCTCAGGTACTCTAATACTGCTGGGTTAGAAAAACCCAAACAACATGGTAGGGAAGTGAGAGGGCTGCTGATCTATTTTCAAGGTGTGAAACTACTTCTGGAGGGAAGGAAAAAGTACAACTGACTAGTAGGGAAGTTAAGAGTGGTTGAGAAACAGAGGAGAGAAAGGAACTAACTGCAAAGTTTCTGAGTGTTAAGGAAAACTTGCTGTAAAGGTTCATCATGTGAATTTCTGTGGTTCTGCTGACAACTTCTCCATTAGAGGCATACAGGGGAAGGCTTATTTTACCACAATAAGCATGCTAGCTTGTTATTTGTGAGAGAACGCTTTGCAGTGAAACTACTAACAGTCTTGCTGCTTTTCTGTCACCATCTGAAGCCATCCATAAATTTAAGGAAACATTGTTTAATTTTATTTTTTTTAACATTATTAAAGTCATCTTCATAATCAAGAAAATCAGTTTTCGTAAAAACGCTTAGTATCTCCAGTTCTGTGGAGGGCAAATAGTATAACACTGTGCTAATGAGGCATGCTCTACTGTCTTCTCTCCTGTAAAAGCGGATGGCCTTTGAGAGTTCCTAAATGCAGTGCCATGGGTGTGCTCCCTTTGAACGTTCACCATGTGCTGCTGTAGATCCTTGATGTCTGGAAGGGAATACATGAACAAGACACTTTCATGATCAGACAGTCACAAGCAGCAGTACTACAAGAGGTCAAAACTCCATCTGATTTAGCCAGCTGAGATGCAGCATTAAATCCACACATGGTGTTTCCTTGCCCACTCTAGCAAACAGCACATTTTCCCTCCTTCTATAATGATCTGATCTAGACAGGCACCATGGGACAAGCTCAGGTGGCAGACCCCTATCACACCCACTAAGGTTAACAGCCATGTCAGCCCTGAAGGAAGGGCACAAACTGCATCTGTTAGCAATGACTCCAGTCCAAATCCCATTTAGGGGGAGGAAGGGAAGAAAAAGCACGATATAGCAAGGCTGTCAGTGAATGAGAGTTAACTGAAGTCAAGGAAAGGCAAGTATTTTATAAATATTCTGCTTCTGAATGGGAAACATCTCCCTCAGCTGACACCGCCCCTGGAAATCCAGTCTAGCATGTCCCTGTTAAATAAAAGGGCAAAAGTTACCTCCATCCTTTGCTACCTACACACTATTTCAATAGTAAGTCACAGAAAATAGTCCTTATCCAAGAACAAGTAAGTACAGCAAGTTACATGAAGTATCTGAACAGGTAGATATTTTTTATCCATTTATAACTCCTCTTTTAACAGGAGAATCCCACCCTAACTTGACTTATTATTTTAAGCCTCAAACAATATTTACATTAGTTCTGCATGTCAGAGGTAAGAGCAGTTACTAGGAACAGCTTCCAGTAGACTGGAGGGTAAACATCACAGCTCAGTTATTTCAGAAACAGATGCCTGTCCAGCAGTGAAAATGGACTGCCGTGGGGACAGCCAACTTGTGCAGCATTGAGGCTTGTGCAGACAAACGGGGAGCCATAAAAACTGCATTTTTACTCAGACCTGTTCCCTGACAATCCTGCTAGCTGGTGATGCAAATGGGGAAGAGTGAAGGCTGCCATGCTCCCCAGTAGCCCAGGGCTCACATCAGCTATGTAGCTACAGTATCAGAGTACCGGCTCCATTCTGACCGAGTGCATCCCAGAATTCATCAAATTGAACTCTAGCTCAAGTGTGGTTACTTTATCCTTTTACCTGATAGTAAGAGACACCGGTCTAATTTTAATAAGTTCCCAAGTTGAGTTCTTTCACTTAAAGCATTCTACTCATTTTGACCAAAAAAAAAAAAAAATCCGCTCTTTTCCAAGAATAGACTATTACACACTCCTGAATTAGCTCTGGCATAACAAATCATTGTTGAACTAATTCACATATACAGTACTCACAAAATAAGTATATTATAAATACACCATTTTTGAGTTCAAGGTGTTAGGGTTTTTTTTTTTTGAGCAGAGTCCAGAGGTGTAAGCCAGAAACAAATAAAGAAATGCCAAATTTTATTGCTCCAGTCTCATGTGAAGTGATCACCCGAATCCCTGCAATTTAAAAGGTGTACCTGACGACTCTTGTAAAAATAAAGCCACAAGTTTCAGACAAAAGATTAGCCTCCATTAAGCCCAGTGCTCATCTTGTAGTTAGGGAAGACTGGACCATTTTGTGTATCCTTCCTTCAGTTTTCTAATCAGTGCTATACTAAATGAGTAGGCAGGCATATTTGTGACCCTCTTAGCCAAGCATAACTTTTTTTCCCTGTTTAACTTAACAAAACCCTGAAATTACCTATACTTCCAGAGCTTATACTTACTGGTCTGCCCGAACACTTTACAGCAGGTTGTGGCGACTGAAAAACAATTTACTTCTAGCTATCTATTCAGACACCCTGTGGGATCAACACTCCACTGCACTAGACTTCCTCAGTTTGGTGCCTCTCTGTCATCTTTACTTCAGACAAATCTTGGCAAGCTGCCTCCGCGACATCTCACATCATCTCAATGAAACAAGTACCTGTGTATCTGCATTATTGTTTTGTCTCCTACATTTTCATGCATCAGCTAAAAGCCTTCTGTCTTCATCTTTCTTCCTCCTTACTGACTCTAATAGCAGAGCTGTGTATTTGCAGATACCGAAAACATCTTCCTGCCAAATGCACTTACACAACAGCTGCAGCATAAGTCTACCATCTCCCCTCCCTCAAAATTTTGTGTATCCAGAAGATGGCAGCAGACATATTCATGAAGGACAGAAGGGAGTACAGTGCTCACTGTTCGTGCAGGGACAGCTGTTATTAGAAGAAAACAACAAAAAACCATGA